ACCGTCATCTACGTGTTCAGACAACCAAGTTTCCGTTAGGGAAATTATATCTAGTGATAGTTCACAGGCATGAATCTTCAGCTCATCTAGCTTTGATAGCATACTCTGTGCATTGGTGTACCTGAACGTCAGTTTTCTGTTTGCCCAAGATTTGGTTACGGTCAGGCTCGTCCCGCCCTTTACTGGGTCGACTGCGCGGTCATCCGGAAGGGACCTGTCCAGGGGAAGAACATTGGACGCTGGATCACTTAGTTGTTGTAAATAACCAAATGTTGTTCCGCTTCGCTGAGCCTCTGTCTCAGTTCGGTTACAAGTTGATGGCGTTTTTTCCGTTCCGCAGGTGAGAAGTCCTGTTGAAAAAAAACTCCAGGGTTGGCGTCTTTTATCTTCAAGTGTCTAGACAGATGTACTGCCATATACACAAGGAGGAGGTTTATTTCCGCTAAACCCTCGAGCACTTTTTGTGTTTGGGCAGATGAAAGAGGAGGCTAAAATGGCCTCCGTAAGCGCAGTGGCTGACAACTAATGTGTGACGGCTGATGAAGATCATAAACGAGGCGATACAACGCTTGCACGCAAGCCGCTTGCCTTTGTTCCCTGCTCGAGACAGGAACAGGCAGCGGTTTATTGTCAAGTAAAGGCACGAGCATTCATCTACTAAGAGTCGTAAAATGTAAGTAAAAACGAAAGCAATGTACGAACGACGCCCATTACGTAGGACAAGAGACTTGGGGTCGCAGGTACGCAAAAACTGGCGTAAACGCTCATAATACAGTCGACAATTAATCGGTACGTTGGAAATACGAAAATTCTGATTTTAGTTGTAACTAGTGTCCAACTGTTAACAAGCATGAGTATCTGCGCATAGTAGGAAAATTACATCTAGAATGGTTTGAAGTAACCTTCGGTGATATATTGAAAGCATCTCCTTTGAAATGTTATGCTGTACCAATGCACATCTTGGCAGATTTTTTACCAAAAGGGAGCTCAAAAGCGTTTACCTATACTTCCCTTGATAAACCTGACCTGACCTGCTTAACCTATATATTATACAATTGACATCTCTCACAATTCTTCTGTTTCTGGCGCTCTACAGGATACGGTTTTACTGGCACTATTATTATTTATAAGTCAAACCTAGGTCACACATGCTCATCCAATATGACGAAGGGAAATATTCCTTCGTGTGTTTAAAACAAGCAAAAGCATATAAAGGATCCTATCCCAAAAGAAAAAAAATTAAATACGGTTTATCGCACGCCATGCGCTGATTGCTCTCGTGTGTATGTTAGTCACACAGGTCGACTCCTGGGCCTCCGTATCAAGTAACATAAATAAGATGTCCGTTGCCGGGACCCCCTGACCCTCGTCTTCCCACACGCAATAGACTGCGACCATAAGTTTAGTTGGCATGACACTGAAATCGTCACCATGCCCATCACAAAACGAGCGCGAGAACTTCTCGAAGTTTGTTACTCTACTGTGGGTACAGTAGTCGCCGTTTATTAAGCCCACGGTTAATAGGCCCAGCCGCGTAT